AAGCTTCCCATCGTCATAACGACGGTGGTGGTGGTGGTGAAAACATTTAATAACCATTAAATGGTTACAGAGAGGTGATTGGGTTGGGGCCTTATTGGCCTCCTACCCTCACAGCACTAGGTGGAACCCCTATTCCGGGGCTCCAATGGCAAACAACGCCGCCCGCGCCCGTTGAACCAGAGCCTCTTGGGCCTTCCGGTCTTGACAGCCGAGCAGGGCCGCCTCCCAGTCCTCTCTCGTGGGATTGGGGTTGGGGGGGATAGATGGATTAGACTGGCACGCCCAGACGATGTGAAAGGTGTCAGCCACCTCACCACAAAACTGGCACGTGCCATCAAAGGATGAATTGAAATGTTTTAGCACCGCCGGGCACAGTACAGTATTGGTAAACAGTTTTAAAAGGAGGTGCTCGTCAGCGCGATGCAGTCCCTTACAAGGGTCTGGATAGCTCGGGTGCTCCTCCTTGTAGTAATTGGTAATATCTTTGAATGAAAGGGCCGAATTGTCTGATTGCGAGTAGGCTTCCAAAGACAGGGAGATAGCCTGGTAAGAGAGTGCGCGGGCGGCCTGATCAGCCTGTTCGTTACCCCTGAGTCCTTGGTCACCAGGTGCCCAAACCAGATTTCGCGGAGTTGGATTAACGTATCGGCAGCTAGATTCCAGTATGTGCTGAGCAAGCGGTGAAGCCCACCCTAGCTGATAGTTCCGACAGGCCCCTCGTGAGTCGGTGATGATATGTTTAGAAGAGGGATAGGTGAGAGCCAGAGCGATGGCAATCTCCTCCGCGTGTGTTGCGCTGTAGGCTTTGAAAGTGAGCCCGTTTACGGTGTTTGTGTTGTGTATGACTGCGGCCGTATACCACCCCCATTGTGCGGGCCGGCAACGTCCACGTAGCATACGTGTTCCTCTTGACCTAAGTGTCGCTGCAACGCTTCCGCGCGCGCCTGGCGGCGACCACTGTGGTTTTCTTTGGACATGTTGCGGGGAAGGGGTCGGACCCGGAGGGCGCGTCTCCACGGTTCCGGCACTCTACCCCTTTCCTCAATATAGTAATCGTGTTTGATGTGTATTCGGTCCAAGAGGCGGCGACCGGAATGGGTCTGTGCAAGGCGCGTGTATTGGTTAACGAGGTGGGCTTCTCGAAGTTCCCGGTAGGTATTCACCACGCCTAGGGCCAGAAGTCTCTGGTTGGACGTGGTGATAGGGAGATCGAGAGCCCGCTTGATAACTTTACGGTGGATGACCTCGAGTTGACCAACCTCGTGTTTGCGTAGGTGGAAGTAGGGAGTCGAGTAGAGTATTCTACTCGTTACGAAAGCATGCGCAAGCCGCATTGCATCCCTGCTTCGTAATTCGCCCCGCTTGTTGGAGACCCGGCGGACCATATGGCCCACCTGGTCTCCCACCGTGCGAAGTTTGGCTATTGTGGTGTCGGCCTTGCGTTGGTGGTGTATGAAGAGGCCAAGGACGCGGATCTCCTTGGCCTCACGGATCGGTCCCGAGGGAAGACTGATATGGAGCTGAGTTGTGTCCTGAGGGGAGGGACGTACGTGCACAAATTCTGACTTATCCGGGGCACACTGGAGTCCGCAGTAGGTTGCGTAGTCGTCGACTACAGTCGCTGCTGCTTGCAGGCATGACTCCATGTGACTCATCACGACGGATGCGTCCGATGATGGACTGGGAGCAGTGTTTCAACAACTCAGAGATGATCAGCTGATCACTATTGCTTTTGCATCTCGTACGTTGACCCCTGCTGAACGCAGATATTGAGTAGGAGAGCGTGAAGCTCTCGCGTGTCTTTTTGCCTGTGAGAAATGGCTTGTTTACTTGTGGGGCCGGCACTTCACATTACGTACAGATCACCAAGCACTAGTTGCTCTTCTTTCTGCAGGATCCGAAGGCCGCCGCCCCATTCGCATTTCCCGTTGGTGTGCCAAACTCATGTATTATAATTTCAGTGTTCAATATTTCAAAGGTCCTAATAACTTGGTTGCTGATGCACTGTTGCGCCTTCCTCTTCAGATACCAGTTACTGAAAAGCGGGATGAGGAAGTTGTTTCATTAGTTACTTCCTGCACCACTAAAGCTGAGCTTCAGGCAGCTACAGCTGCAGATTTCACTTTGTCTCAAGTTCTCAAGTATTTACGTGAAGGATGGCCTTGCAAATGTGCTCTTGCTTCTGAATTCTCGCCTTACTTCGCAGTCCGACAGGAACTGTCTTGTGTCGAGGACTTGCTTTTCCGCGATGAACGCGTGATTCCCCCTCCTTCTTTTCGTAACAAGCTAATACAGCTTGCCCATGAGGCCCATCCAGGCATTGTCCGCACCAAACAGAATCTCCGAGACAGGTACTGGTGGCCAGCCTTAGACAAGCAGGTCGAGCATGCAGTTTACAACTGCCATATATGTCAAGCAGCTGACAAGTCTGCCAAACCTGCATTTTCTCCGTTGCAGCCAGTCCAGTGGCCTGATCGGCCTTGGCAGAAACTCGGCATGGACATCATCGGTCCTTTGCATAATGTTCCGCAAAATGCCCGGTTCATTGTTTCTCTCATCGACTACCATTCCAAATGACCAGAGCTTTGTTTCACACATACGGTTACTTCTGAGGTCATCATTGAGTTTCTGTCTTCAATCTTCAGCCGGGAAGGTTCTCCTGACGCCATAGTTACGGACAATGGTCCACAGCTTCAGTCCCAACATTTCGAGGCTTTTTTTTTACAACGAGGAATTCAGCACTTGAGGTCATCAGTTTTCTATCCCCAATCAAATGGCCAAATCGAGCGCTTTAATCGCGTTCTGAAGGAACATATCCAGATCGCCCAATTAGAGCACCATCCTCTCAAGCAAGTCTTGACTGAATGTTTTGCTTCGTACAGGTTCACACCACAAGGCACCACTGGAGTGTCTCCTGCTCAACTTCTCCACGGTAGGCAACCGCGAGTTGCTCTCGACATAGTCTCTTTGCTTCGTAACATAGCAGTGTCTTCTCCTGATCAAATTCGTACCAGGGTTTTTTCTCGTCAACAAGCAATGAAAAGGTATATCGACACCCGTCGAGGTGCAAAGCAGTCCAAAGTTCGCACTGGCGATCTAGTCAAAGTTCATGTGCCAGGCAAGCGCCCCAAGTATCGGGGTCCTTACAAAGACTTGGGCCAGGTTAGCCCCACTTCTTATCGCTTAAGTGATGGTAACATCTGGAATGCTTCGCGCCTTGTTATTTTTCATACGGATTAGCCTTCAACACCTAAAAGTCTTCCTCATCACGTTCCGTCCACGCCTTTCAACTACGCATCAGACTGTTACATGTGGCCTCCATGTACAGGCATTTCTTCTTCAAGGGGGGAGAAGTTACCAGGCGGTGTCGCTGGTTCAAGTACACAAAGTCATACGGTTCACTTCGAACCTTCAGATACGGCTGAGACCGTTGAACCAGACTCCGGTCCGCAAAATTCTTCCGAAGCTCATGCTGCGAGCTCTGATGAGACCCCAAATTTTAACGCTCGTTCAGAGCCTTGACAATCTTCTACTCAAGGTGCAGAGACACCTGATTCTACACCCAAAAGGGCCCGCCCTAAGCGGAAGCGGCAGAAGCCCCGTCGGTTCGAAGACTATGTGATGTAGAACTCTTGTTCCCAACAGTTGTGTACATTTTTTGTTTGTCAGTGCATTTTCAGGACTTGTAGTGTGTGAGTTCGGTGTGCCGTGCTCTGAATTTTCATGTGTTCTATTGTACATACCTTGTAAAATATGTTGGTATCGAGCATGTATATATATAAACAGTGTATAGGTGTGCTTTTTTCGAGGAGGGGATGATTGTTGTGTTCTGGGTTTTCGGTTTCGGATTGACATGTGAGGATGCCAGGGGGCGCCGCTCTGGCATCGAGGATTTCAAGGCGACTGTAAAATAAACAGTGTGTGTTAGGTAACCATGAAGTGCGGTTGTTGTGCTTTCTTTCGGCGCTTCGCGCCAACTCGCGTGTTCAGGCTGGTCGGTGTCCCCACCGGCCACGTACGTCTCCGTCGGCCGTCTTCTTCTTCTTCTGCTTCGTCGGGACCAGCCAGCCCCCAATACAGCACTCTCATATTCACATATGGCCATCGACAGGTTTTTGTCTTGGGGGTAAGGAAACCCTTCTTTCAACTTGTATCATGGCTGAGGGAGGGGGTCGTGTTGCTGTCGCTAGAGTGGGTAGCAAGTGCTGGTTCGGCTTGAAGGGGTCAAGTGCCCTTTTTGCACCACGCTTATGTCAACACTTCATTCATTAAACACAACGGTGAGGACTAGTTGACTAAATTCGCAGATTTGTTTTCTTCCGCATCTTGCACCTCTACATAAAACATTCTCATATTGTGAAAAGTAGGTATTTCGATTCGTTTGAAGGAAAGTAACATTCAAGGCATGACAGATACTCAAAAGCGCGGTTTCCTGCAATCGCAATAAGAAAACTCGTAGCAGAGGTGCTTCTTTTTTCGTGCAGCGTACAATGTAAAAGTGAGATCCAATTCGGAAAAAGCGAACTGAGTGACGTGCGTCGGTGCTCACTCAATGTTCAATGAAAGAAGGTTTCATGAAGTATGACGTAGCCAACAACAGAAACAAACTGCTGCATCTTAAATTTAAAAAAAAGACAAGCAAAGTGTTGCACATTCGTGGTCTAGAACATAGACATAAATTGAAATACGCGTTTTTTTATTATGAAAGCGAAATAAAAACTATTTTACAAAACGCTTTGCATTCATCGTGATGTCGATACATCTTTGTAGTGTCATTAGTGCTATTTGGATGAAAATCCCTGAATTACAACTAGTTTCGGTTTCCGCGCCGCCGCCGCCGATGAAAATCGGCCGCGCGCCGCCGACTCTGAACGACCCCCACGCCGCCGCTGGTCGAAATCACCTCGGCGCACACCTCTAACCAACTTTACTAGAACCAACGTTACCTAGTCTAGTAACGTTGCCTCTAACTAGAGGTCCGTTCGATTCACCTGCACCACTTGGAACCGGTTCATGGTGGTGCCCGATAGGTGCACGATGGGTGCGTGGCTAGTTCAGAAGAGTAGCAGTGGTGTCGACGCAGCTGGATAGCAGCGCCACGCAGAATCGAATGCCGAAGTGCAGTGGTTGTGCCATGTCTTCTGCTGTGTTCCAAACAAGGGTGCGTGTATGTCGTGTGTGCGTCCCTGTGTGTTGTTTTCGTTCGTGAATTAACATTCTCACACCTGTAGCCTTTCTGTACGAAGATGAATTCTGGCCTGCTTTCAGCTGTCGTGCAAGTCGCCATGGAGCTGATGGATTCTGACAGCGACGAAGAGTACGATGACTTAGTCGCAGCAATAGCAATGAAATCGGCGAGATTGGACCGAAATCGCATGCCAAGGTATTGTGAGGACGTTGTTGACCGGTATTTTGGTTTCGAGTTAACGGATGTTTCGGCTGTCACGGGAAACGTTCGGGGATCTCGTTGCCCGCTACCAGACGTCCTCGTTCTTCCCAGATTCTCCTGGTGGTCGCCCACGGATTAGTGCAAACAAGACTTGCTTAGTAGTGCTGAGCTACCTCGGTAGCCAGTCGAGTATGTACTCCCTTGCCGACAGATTTGATATATCTGAGTCGTCAGTGCGCACGTGCATTGAGCGCGTATTGAACTTTTTACTCAGTATAAGCGAAGAAGTCATTTCTTGGCCAGACAGTCGTGAGCAAGAACGGATCAAGACTGGCTTTTTGCTAAGGAGCGAAGGTAAAGGTCCGCGCAACACCATAGGCTGTGTGGACGGTTGCCACATAGAGATTAAGAAGCCGGAGGAGTCGCCGCATTCGTACTTTAACCGCAAGAAATTTCCATCTGTGGTGCTCCAGGGAATATGCAATGACAGGAACAAGTTCATTGACGTTTTAATAGGATTTCCTGTTGAAAAAACAGGTCACTGACCAACGTCAAACAAAACAATGACGTTTCGGGACCCGTACGGGTCCCGAAACGTCATTGTTTTGTTTGACATTGGTCAGTGACCTGTTTTTTCAACAATGCCTTTACCTGACCAGACGGCATTCCGTCGAACTCTCGACTACGTAAATAGGATTTCCTGGATCTGCACACGATGCCAGGGTGCTTCGTGAAGGCCCTTTCTTCGAGGTAGCTCAGACGAAGTGTGCAGACAGTTACCTGCTTGGAGACTCTGCATACCCCTTGCTTCCGTGGTTGTTGACACCATACCGAGATAATGAACAGACCTTTCCAGCATGGAAAAAGCGCTATAACAAGTGCTACTCGCAGCAGAGATCTGCCATTGAGAATACCTTCGGTCATCTGAAACAAAGGTTTCGAAGGCTTTACTTTGTTGACGCTGCTACAATCAAACAGTGCTGCCTTATAGTAATGGCTGCTTGTGTGTTGCACAACATATGCAACAAAGAAAGAGATTTCCTTATTGAGCTCCAAGAAGCTGCAGAGATTGAAGAAATTGGAAATGATGATGAGAATGTTGTCACAGACCGAAGTTTGGCTGCATACAGTGAATGTCTGAGAAAGGCTATTGCTCAAAAGCACTGTTAGTGCTTCAATGAGTACTTTATGAACGATAGTGTGAAGTGAGAATGTGGTGAAGAATTTGTGGTATGAAAGAGTCGACTATAAAGTTGTCTAAGAAAAACAATTTTGATTAATCTCAATTTATTATCTTAATTTATTCACAATTTTTTCTACATTGGCTTTCTACAGCAGTCACTAGGCGTTCAAGAAGGCTCATCTTTGCCTTCGACCGCTCCTCCCTCTCTTTCCGGCTTTCTCTAAATTCATGAAGGAGACATTGAATTGGCGTGCAATCCACCCTTTTCCTTTTTTTAAGGGGTTGGCTTGACGCTTCTTCAGCTGCAGCTGGGTCTTCGTGTTCCGCAGGTTCTTCTGAGCCAGAATATGCAGCAGCCGCACCTTCTGGTCTGGCAGGTTCTGCATCCTCAGATGCACTTACTGGTGGATGATCATGAGGCCCGCTTGCATTGTGGCTGTCCCTGAAATGAATGTAACCTCACAAACATGAAATATTTACATTTCACGTACAATAACTTTACCTGTTCTTTTCAATCACCCTTCCTGGGGTAATCAATACTGTCGGGGTGATGTGATGTTCTTTTTCTAGAACATCACTCAGTTCTCTAGAAATAAAAAAATATTGGTAATATGGTGATGAATAGCTGAATATAACCTGTACTCACTCTTCAAATTCGCTAGACACCCTTCCACTTCCTGAAGAGTTATTTTTTTATTTGGTCCGTTTGTAAGCCCGCTCGAGACTTTTCCATTTGTTCTGTACTTGCAGCGGGCTACACAGACATTCAAACTCTCTAGATATCATTTCGGCAAGTGTTTGCCACAGGGCCTTTTTCGTGCTGAAAGAAATACATTCAAAAATACAATGATCACAAACAGAAAGACTTGGCATGTGTGAGAAACAACATGTATAGGTTAGACATGTGGTGCATTTCACAATTACTCCAAATAACACTTACCGAAAGCCACCCTTTTTGCCGACAAGATCTTTAAGCTCCTTATATTTGTTAATTAAAAATCTTGTTTTCCGCCCGCTCCACAGCTCAGGCTCTGAAGGATGTTCACTGGCTTGACTGGGTGACACAAGTGGAACGTCTGACAAACGTTGACTAGCATAGTCATGGTCATCACAGTTTTGTTGCTGTGGCTCATCGTTTTCAAAAACCAATGTGATTACTGTTCCATCTATAAAGAAAATGTAGCAAGAGTCATGCTTCAGGAAGGCTTTGTTGCTGATTGAAAGGTTGCATGATGCCATTTCATTTGACAAAATCGTACATCTTGCAAGAAATAATGAAATCACAGATGTGCATGAAAGACAAAATATTAAAAGAATGTTAAATTTTGCACCTTTAAATACTTGTATTACTGCGTACTAAATTTGGGGTAATTGAACTGCTTGGGACTTGCGAGCGTTATTTTGTTGAAAAAAAAAGTGGTCATGGAGTAACCTTGCTTTTTTTTTTACACACTGAACTGCCATTTAATATACACAACATTGTGAAGATCGCGAATATATTGAGATAAAAAATACTGAGGACCTAACAAAGAGCCACAACGTGAAGAATGGAACGATTTGAAAGGCTCCGCAAAAGACGACGGAAGGCAACGTCAAAACTGTTGACCGTGTACACGTGCTTGCGAGATATTTCAGGGTTAACTTGCTTACCCTGAAATCTCTCTAACGTGGCCATTAAAACTTCTTAACATGCCCGTAGTAACATTATGCACAACCAATAAATCGTACACAACACGTCGCAGTTCACGTTTTTAAAGCCTTGTTAAACGGCCTTGTGTTAACAAATGCTGTCCACACGAGAGCCTGCAAAGCGATTGTGGTGCCAAAATATGCGAGATGCGCATTACACGCCCGTCCGAATACCAAGCAGCGCACTGGCATCCAGCTTAATTTGGTGTCGAAACGTTCACATTCGAAACGTTCATACTTATTGCTCTAATTAACACAGGCGCTATGAATAATAATTAGCAGACAAAACAGGTGTATGCCTACCTGATGCACTGTAGGCAAAACCGCGCCCTGTGGAATTCGGCTTCCGTCTTCGCTAAGGATAGGTGTCAGGAGCGTTTCCACGCCGTCTACGTTTGTTCTCACCGCCATCGTCGATGCCAGAGCTGCTGCTGCTGCTGCTGCTGCAATCGTCTGCTTGCGCTGCACCACGCCGGCACTGTACCGGCACCCCCACGTCCAGAGGTGCAACAAAACGCGGGATAAAACGTGAACCAAGGCTGCACCTCTCTCGCACTTTTTGAAACGAACGGCGGTGTGCAGAGGGCGGCGCGCTAGGCTGCACCGCTGAATCGAACGGTAGGGTGCAGCACTTCGTGAACTGGTTCTCGTGGTGCAGGTGAATCGAACGGACCTTAGAACTTCTAGTACACTGTAATTGTATTGAAGGGGTTGCCTACTGAATGAGCGTGAAACGCCCATCATCTATGGCGCCGTCACTTATGTAGGGTTAGTTATAATTAGTTTTAATTATTTTTACATTTTTTCAAAACTTTTTACGTTATTGTTGTTGCCTATACGCTCCAAAAACGTATAAATTTATTTAAAGACAACTGAAGTGGCGTCACCACCCAGGAGGATACAAAAAACTTGCTGGAGTGGAAGCCGCCTATGCGCCGCTACGGGAGAGAGTGAAGCCGCGCCGAGCGTGCCGCGGCCATGACCTACTACACTCCTGACCTGCCCAGAGAGCACCTCTTCCAGCGCCCACGTTCTAGTTCATACCTTCTGCCGCTAGGGCCGTCACCTACGAGCGGCGTGGCGCTAGGCAGCACCTGTTCGCTGTCGTCTGCTTCAGCCATCGCTGTGGCAGTGCAAATCGTTCTTATTGTGCATGAATTGTGTATGAATGTGTAAAATATGGCAAATAAAGCGATATGATTCCTCGTCAGAGTTGGCTGCATTCGTGTGGACGTTTGAAGCAGAAATAGAACCGTAAAAAAAGCACACAAAGGGTCACAGTGGCAAGCAGACGGGAACTTTTCTACAAATGAAGGAAAATTTATTATGAAAATATTTCTTGAATGAAAACGTAGTCCAACGAGATAAAAAAACTATTGTTAGGCATTCATTGTTCACACTGAATCACGATGGTTCCAGACGATACGCATACACAAATTGCAGAAGATACGCAGAAACACAGTAGGTCGTGTGCAGAAACTTTGTTTGAAACATCAGCTTTAACTGGCATATTGTGGCACGCATAAGTAAAGCGACAAATGTGTTTTGTTTCATTTTGAAGTGCTGTAACATTGCTCGAATCACACGCATACACTCGCCAAATTCTTTTAGCAGAAACCTTGATATCACTTTGAGGGATCTGCTTTTCATTGACAAACGAGTATAATGGCACATTTTCAGCATGTGTACGCGCCCCAACTGCGGGTGTCGCCCTTGGGCGCTATCAATCAAACATAACCACTAGTACAACAAAGGCGGTACTATTCCGCCCTAAAAATAAGTCTGTTAATGAAAACATACATTTCAAGTATGGCGATACTATTATTGAGTTAGTAAATTGTATAAAAATTCTTGGAGTTACATTTTCGAGCAATATGCTTTGAAACGATCGCATTTACAGTGTGCTGGGTCAGTTATCTCGCGTAGAGGGCACGGTGTACAGTGGCAAAACTGTTCTACTATACAAGGTAAAATTCTTACTTTATAAATGACTGTTCTGTTGGCATCTTGCTTATTGTTTCTTGGTATGAAGGACTACGACTAACACGCGCTTACAAAAACTGTACCTGATGCAAAAGACGTATATTAGAATAATTTTTTACTGGTCGTATGATGCTCGCAGAAGTGAATTGTTTCAACAGGCTGGAATACCACCCCTACATCGTCTCTACGATTTTAAGTTAGCATTGGTGGTCAGGCGTCAATTTCAAGAAAGTCGACATTATTTGTACGACCTCTCGAAACTGCAGCCAAATAATTTGTTCGAAACATGACATAAAGAAACATGGAAAATAAAAACTTCGAGAACAAACTACTCCACAGATAGGTTGTTCTACACAGTTTCTACGTTAATTGATAAATATGTGAAAGCTGGCATAGATTTCTTACTCTGTACCCGAACTCAATTGCACGATATACACATGTATAGTTTTCAAGATTTCTTTGCAGTTGCTACATTGTTATCATGGTTGCTATTTTTATTTTTAGAATTTGAACTTGATATTTTTGTAATTGTTGCTTAGATAACATTGCTAACTGTTTGCCAGTGCTGTCGTGCTAAAGGCGTCTGTGGGCCTATGTCAAGCTGCCTCTTTCGAAGAGCAGCTTTTACCTGCCGCTGTCCTTCATCAAACTATTGATGAAAAATAAAACATTATTATTATTATTATTATTATTATTATTATTATTATTATTATTATTATTATTATTATTATTATTATTATTATTATTATTATTATTATTATTATTATTATTAACTATGCTCGACAAGATGATGATAATGATGACGATAAAAACTTTATTGGGGTCGCAATGTGTTGCCCTCGATAGGCACATCACTGCCTTTACCATATCGTCTCATCGCACGGACATATAAAATCATAGAAACGCGCATCGGCCAGCGCTCCCCGTTCCAGCAGACAAACTCCCGTAGCGAAATTTGACGCACAATTTTTGTTGTGTAGGTCACAGTAAGAGTTAAAGCTTCAATTCCTGTGTCTCTCCTTGATATGCGTCCGTGGGCGTATGTGCATTATTCTCTTCTATCAATTGACTACAAGTGTAACACCTGTCCAGGGCGAGTGTCCAAGGTAAGTGCTCAACAGGGGCACTGCGTTTCACCTGACGCGTCCTAAACAACCTAAAATCAGTTTGATATTCTATTACCAATGAGTACATTATTAGTCAAAAGCTTTATGAATACTAAATTGAAGTTTTTTTAGGCTGGAATGGCAAAAACAACCATGCAGCAAGACATTTCTACGCAAATATACAGCTTTAGAAGTCAATCAACCAGTATAGCCTAACTACTAAAATGTAACACATAGCACACGTTAGCCTTTTCAGCAAAAAACAATCACACGTATAGGCAGTTTGTCACAGAAGCAGACGCATGGTATCAGTCCGTCGCCCTCCTGCCGGCCGCACAGTAGCAGACGAACAGGTTATAGGTAGCGCCACCTACGGCGAGCGATTGAACGAGAGCGGGGACACGCGCTCCCATAGGAACCCCGCTATCTGAACAGGTCAGGAGTGTAGTAGGTCATGGCCGCGGCCATGTTGCCAGTGGCAGAAAAGAGCCGAGCGCTGCAAATTTATGCTTCATCGCGATGCGGGTGAAGTGACTCGTGTGTTTATATAAAGCAACGAAAACAAGTAATTCCTGTTGTAAATGTTTATTGCGCCTTGTACGCAGCGAAGTGGCATGTAGAAAACTCAATTAAATTGCATATGCATCAAATAGCGATGCCTAAAGCAAACACTTCATCGAAAACATAGGTGCCCTACTGGCGGTTGAAAATTATTGCCCTTGTCAAAAGTGGCCCCACCTTACTTTTCACTGATTCTCGGTTTTTTTTTTTCCTTCGTCATGTGTTGTATCCTCACTTTTACGTATTGTTCGGCGATTTGCCTGCGCAAACTGTAAACCTTATTATCAAGCGTATCAAAGTCTAGGACGTGCTGCTCTAGTTTATGGAACCAGTTTTTCTCGGAGGAAGCTCATAGAACTTTCAGGATGAGGTGTTTTGCTCTTGACTTCACCGTTGTGATGGAATCACATTCAGCCTGTAGCTGCCTCATTCCTCGACTTCTTTACAAGGTCTAATGACATCTTGCGACGGTGAAACAAGACCACCTCGCCTCTTACATTTAATTGAAGGTGTCAGCTCATCTGAGTGCATGACTGCTATACACTCTTCACAGGTAGTTGCAGTTCGACCTTTCGAACAATGAAGCCTGCTATGTATGGCACCACGGAACTGACAAAAACAGAAAAGCTTTCGGGCTAGTCAATGCGATGCGTATTGTCGTGGTCATCGGGCTGCACGACTGGGGCCTTGCGTATGTCAGTGAAATTGCTTCTTGGATCTACCATGGCTGCAGGAGTCGTTGCATTCAATACGGAGAGAACATCTTCGGAGCAGTGCCCAGAACTTGAAGACGTGACTTCCGTCGGAACCGACGCTTGTATGCAGCCATAAACTGCGAAGCTGTTGGGTTGTTGTTATGGCCGCCTCATCCACGTATTGATTCAAAGAAGTTTTCGGCATAGTCATGACTGACTTTGTGTGTCAGTAAGTATTTCAGCTGACCCTGGCTGAGAAGTCTGTCAAACATTCTTTCCGTGCTTGCCATGCGTGTCCAAAAACCAATAAATCCGTTTTTTTTTTTTTTTTTCAGTCCTTCTGTCACTGCCGGATCTCTCAGCTCGTTTATGTACGCTCGAGTCTCCGCAAAAAAACGACTTTTAGAATGCTTCGTTCCCCTGCCGAAGGGGCGCTTTGTACGACCTTGCCAGCGGATTCTTGGAGTTTTAAGATGTCAAACAACCGATCAAAAGTTCTAATAAACGTAGATCTTGTGCTGGCACCCTTGAATTGCGGCAGCTTTAGCTTTTGTTCGCAGAAGTCCAAAGCGTCGGCAACTGAGGCACTCGATCAGTTGTACAGCATATCATACCTTCAATTTCTTGCTTTTCCCATTGGACGTGGGCTTTCGTAAGTTTGTTTCCAAGCCACAACCCTTCTTCACGTTGAAGTGTCTTCAATGCCACTTCATAACCCTAGTTCACATGCTTCCCTTCAATGCCAAAGAGGCGGTCAAAGCACTCTGGCGCGAAGTGCACAGAGCGAAGTGCACTTCTCACGGCGAACAGCCCACTCCCAGAGGCCCCGCGTTACGGGATCTTTAGGAAACCTGTAAAACAAATCCGGACTGTTATGTTCTGCATGCTTAGATCGCATCAGCTATAGCTCCCTTTAGTAACGAGCGCGGAATGGCTATGTCGAAGACGTTTTCGTGTACGTACAGGTGGAATGTGAGGCCACAACCTTTCTTCAACCTGTTGGCACATCCGTGAACGACGCAAGAGGCAACCATTGTAAACCATTTGTCTTTACATGCCGACAAGGTGAAACAAGAACGGACGAAATCAGCAGCTCGCGATGGCACTGAGCACGCTTTTTGCCACTGGCAAGATGGCGGCGGCTGGCTTCACTCGCACAGCTCCTCTTCCACTCCAGCAAGTTTTATGT